AAGGAAGAGACCAAGTGCACCGCCGATATCACCTGAACAAATGTAAAAAGGGGTTCTTAAAATTTGCCTTTAAACACTCACAGGCGAGACTCCAAAAACCATAGGTATTATCTTGGCTCCATCGTTCCAAATGCATCTGTTGCAAGAACACATTTACCATTGCAAAATTCTCGCTAAACACAACTATGACTAATTCCCATCATGATTGAGCTTCTGGTTTACTACACCTACCTCACAAACTTTGTTCCAAACTCAAAATTCTCCAGGTATTCATTTAGCTCTTTCTTGAACAGGTTTGTGTAGGATGACTGAAATTACTCATTTTTGACAATTGATTTCAATATTTTATGTTTTTGAATAAGCCGCACAACTTTTGATCTTCTAAAAATTTCGTTTAAAAGGATACATGCTCAATGTTCCCCTTTGTTTATAAACTGCTATAACTTGAATGCCCTACTGAGACAACACATTGTCTATACAATTACCTGAAGTTCGCGGTAGAGACGTTTGAATTCTTTCAACATCTCATTTGCTATCTTCTTCACATCCCCAGTTGTGCAGTTGTACATGTCGTTGATGATTTCCTCGAACTTCTTCTGATTTTCCTTAGTGACCGAGTCGAAAAAGAGGAGTGCTCCAGTCTGAAACACACATTATTTCATATCACTGTATCTAATGGAACAGAAGTTTTGTGCTCACAATCTAGATTATATAATCCCTACGGAAATAAAAAAGTGCGCACCTTAATGCCACTACCATTTGCTACATAGCTTTGGAATTTCGGCCAGTTTTCTTTTTCGATTTCCGTTATCACTTTGTGGAGAGAGTGCTCTATATCGTGAATGATTGGTTGATACCATCCCTAAAAATAATTGAATTCATTTGTAGCTGATTAACGCCGCATTATAATTTTTTAGCTTCTACCTCATTGAACTCATCCTCGAAAAAATGCCGCATTTGCTTTGACTGCATTTTCTCAGCCCATACACGACGCTGTAATCTTCCAGTTTCGTACTGAAATTTCGAAATTAGCTGGTCAACATTTCTCTGCATAAGCTGCTTTGAAGGTACTGG